AAATGCAGAGTGCTGTGGAGGCAGAGTATCTGCTCCTTTGGATTTGGAAAGTGGATTTATTAGTGAAAATATCCTTGAGAAAGCAAACTCAAAGTTGGGACTGCAACATGAACTGCAGCTAGTCAACGGGATGGCACGCTGCTCCACTGATTTTAAATTCACATTCTCCTGGAGTGTTCGGATTGTGACTTAACATATTGGTGATAGCTTTCTTGGTTGAAGCTATGACACATTATGTCATTATGTGGGATTTCACAACAAAAGGTCCTAGAAGTAAACACTGACTTCAGCTTAATGTCAAGATTGAATTATAGGACACAGTTGTTCACAGGAAAGGTAAAAACCAGAGATAAGAAGAGTCCAGGGCTTTGACTAGAAGAACATGGTCAGAAGGGTTCAACTGCAGAAAAAGTTGGGGGAGTTCTATCTGAACCAAGTTGGAGGAAGGGTATAGGAGTTCTTATGTGCCAGTGTGACTCAGGGATCCCAAAGTTAGTGCTTAGCCAGGATAGCAAGAGATGACAAGGACCTTGGCCAGGTACAGAAGATGGAAGCAGTCCCAAGGAGCATGGAAGGAGGTCTATTTTCTGAGGTCAATTAGCACAAATTACATTTCTCTAGTATCTGCCAAAATCTATTCTGAGTGTTTTGTTATTTATTGTTCCATTTTAGTATTTGTTTTGTTTTATTTAATTTCAGTGTTTGTATGCCAATTGATGATCCTTGATAAAGTCTTCCTCTCTATAGCTTTTGATGCTACCAAAAAATGCCAGACCTCAGATGTAAGAGGAGGCATTATAACTTAAACAAGAGAAGATCAGCCTTTTAAAGCTATAACTCAAAAAAGAAATTCATCCATGCTTTATTTAGGGCAGGGGGAAGTCTGTTTGAATGGGGAGTATTATCATAAGCCCTCAATGCTGATTAGAGGCCTATATGGGTGCTCAGTGAAATTTAGCCCCAGGACTCAGCATTGGCTTTTCTAAGGCCTAGAATCTTGCTGATGACACGGCGAATCTCCTTGGTCTTAATACTATATATGATGGGGTTGAGCATGGGAGGCACAAAGAGGTAGATGTTGGCCATAAGAAGGTGGACAGCAGGTGGGGCCTCTTTCCCAAAGCGGTGCACGAGGGACAGCCCCATCATGGGCACGAAGAATACAAGTACAGCACAGAGATGTGAAGTACATGTTTGGAAAGCTCGGAGCTGCTCCTCTTGGGAGGCTAGTCCTGCCACCGTGTGCAGGATGAGTCCATAAGACAGTGCGATGAGCACCAGGTCCAGCATCACAGTGAATACCACCAGCATCAGCCCATACAGGTTGTTGAAGGTGGTGTCTACACAGGCCAGGTGGATCACTTCCTGGTGCAGGCAAAATGAGTGGGAGAGGACGAGAGAGCCACAGTAAGGAAAGACCTTCAGGAGGAGGACAATAGGGATGAGGGCCACAGGTCCCCGCAGGATGACAAAAAAGCCTGCCCTGATCACTCGCCGGCCAGTGATGATGACTGAGTACCTCAGTGGGTAGCATATGGCCACAAAGCGGTCAAAGGACATGACGAGGAGCACTGAGGACTCCATGAAGGAAAATGAGTGGATGCAGAACATCTGGATTTGGCAGGCACCAAAGTAGATGCTGTGATAGTTGAACCAAAAGATTCCCACGGTGGTGGGCAAGGTAGACACCGAGAGTCCCAGGTCAGTGAGGGCCAGCAGGGATAGCAGATAGTACATGGGTGTGTGCAGGCGAGGGTTGGTCTTAATGATTATCAGAATGAAACAATTGCCTGAGATGGCCACCAAGTACATACAGAAAAAGGGGATGAAAATCCAGTGCTTGATGGCTTCCAAACCAGGAAAGCCAGTGAGGTAGAACATGGGGCTGAAGTAAGTAATGTTGGATACGACCATGACCTGAGGACTGAGGGGAGACTGGGCTGGCATTCCTCAAGGACTGAGCTGGAAACAAAAGGATACTTCTGATTAATAATTGCACAGTGTTACTAACATGCACATCACCATTAGCAACATCCTGGGCATAATTACCTTCACTATCATATACTCATATTTATCATTTCACTATATTATTGCATGCTTCTTCATTAATGTCACTAATATTATCCTCCCAGATTCTTTCTTTCTCTCTCTCTTTCTCTCTTTCCCTCCC